TGTGTGTGTATGTGTGTGTGTGTGTGTGCGTGTATGTGTGTGTGTGTACGTGTGTTCGCGCATGCATGCGTGTGAGCATATGCGTTCATGTGTGTTTATGGTTTATTCTGTCGTATTTAAACACCCTGTCTGATTCTGTCGTATTTAAACACCACATGCCTGTGTGTCTGCAAGTCGTGTCGTCGTGTGTGTGTCCTTGCAGTCGGCTACAGCAACAACAGCCTCCAGTTCCAGTGGAGCGAGGAAATTCCCCTGAGCCGCCACGATGACCTGGAGATGTCGCAGTTCTCGCTTGTCAGCCTAAGCAATCGCCACTGTGACGAAGGTGTGGAAGATGGTGGTCAGTATTAGTAATTAGTATCTATTAGTGAGTGTGGAGATGGAGTTCAGTATTGTTTTATTATCTATCACTGTGAATGGAGATGGTGGTCAGTATTATCATTTATTATTGTGAGTAGAAATTGCTATCAGTATTGTTTTGTTATCAATTATTGTGAGGAGAGGTGGAGGTCAGTACTATTATCAGTTATTGTGAGCGGAGATGATGGTCAGTATTATTATCTTTTATTGTGAGTACAGATGGAAGTCAACATTATTGTCTATTACTGTGAGTAGAGATGGAGGTCAGTATTATTATCTATTAGTGTGAGTATGGAGGTCAGTATTGTTTTATTATCTATTACTATGACTAGAGATGGTGGCCAGTATTATTTTATTGTCTATTATGGTTTGCAGAGATGGTGGTCAGTATCATTATCTATTATTGTGAGTAGAGAGGGTGGTCAGTATAATAATCTATTACTGTGACTAGAAATAGTGGTTGGCATCATAATCTATTACTGTGAGTAGAGATGGTGGTCATTTACAGTACACTATTCTATTACTGTGAATAACTGAAAGCGAAAGTACACTGAGCGGATGGTTGGAGGGCGCCACTGGTAGTTCCTACTTCTGAACTTTCCCGCAGTTGTGTCTGACTGTCTGTCTAATTTTCGATCTGTCAGTTTGTCTGTCTGTCTGTCTGTCTGCCTGTCTGCCTGTCTGACTGACTGTCTGTTTGTCTTACTTTTATTCCAGCACAAAATGACCATAACTGTGTTCATGTGCTTCTCTTTACTCAAACTCAGACTCAAAGAGTACACTGTTTTGAACCCTTATCGACACAATTTAGCTCAGAGCTTTATCAACATCTGGGCGATGTCTCGGTGCCCACTTGTGGGTGATTTGATAATTTTGATGGGCAATGGAGATCATCCGGGTAGTGATACGTGTTTTTTAATGACCCGCTTGGAAATACATGTAGGAGAACGGTATGGTACGAAAGCTTTCGCCTCTTAAAGGTGGTAGAAATGGGCTCTGGCCTTAAAAATGTAGACAAGCACCGGTTTAGATCATTAACTAGAAGTCTCAGTTCACATCGGTCAGTTTAAACAATTACCATTGTGACGTGAGTGTGGTGGACGAAGGTCAGTATGGTTTCGTACTTTCAGTAAAGGCAGGCAGCTGGTATTTTCACGGCATGTCGTGGAAAACAATATAAGTCACGACTTGTTTTTCTCTTTTGACCAATCAGTGAACAGCTGGGTCATGCCAGAGGGCATAGACTCTCTGCCCTCTGCTGGTCATGCATCTCTCTCTCTCTCTCTCTCTCTCTCTCTCTCTCTCTCTCTCTCTCTCTCTCTCTCTCTCTCTCAATAGGAACGGCGGATGCAAATCCCTATCCCTTCGAAGTGCGACGAATTTTTAAATCGTATCGTGAGTTTGAGGAAGAATTTCGGAAGTACTGCGGTAAAAATTGTGCTTTCAGCAAAAAAAATCCTCGAAATCAGTCACCGTCAAGAACAATACAATCAAAGACGAGTCAAAATACTACCTGGCGGAGTGGCAGTACTTTAAGGTAATCCTGTCCTTGATTTGTAAACATTAATATTATGTAAGCTACGACAGCACGAACAGAGACACATCAAAGACACTGTACTAAGTCTTGATTTTTTGGTGGTATATTTTATTTGTAACATCAATTTAGAGGGTTGAAATCATAAATCGACATTAATTAATTCAAGTTTAGATCTTGAGTCTTCCTTACTTAGATAGATCTAGGCCTATCCCTTACTAGTAACATCCAGAGCTCTCTCTGGCTAAGTGGCGAACGATTGTTGGCAAAGGCTAGACCTTGAATCTAGGCCTACTCAAGCCTACTATGACATAGATCTAGATCTACCTGCGCATGTTTTTTTTTTTTTTTTTACATGTTCTTATACTTGTTAAAAAGGTCTTCTTCAAGAGACGTGAAAGTATAACTCAGAACGATGTAACGTACACAATATGGAATGGGCCTTTTAACGACAGATTTTTAAAGCTTTCCGAGGGTTGAAAAAGACATTTTTTCACCTCCGCTATCCAATGTGTCATCGCATCCCTGACACTAACAGCTCATGTCGTCGTCGGCTCCTGTTTCGGGAGACCATGGCTACGCCCGTTCGTCACTCCTTTCCAGAACATCTTCTGGTGTGGCTCAAAAGACCGATTCAAGCATGGCAGTCTCTGCCACACTTGTTACAGATGAAGGCTGAAGGCGAGTCGAAGGCTCCATTTTGCTGCCTCTCTTTTCTGCGGCTTCTTCTGTCCATTTCCTGCTCCTGTCTGGTCATTTCATCATGTAGGCAACGCAAACCCGGAAACATCAGTCCTTTCGATACAATCACCAAGCCTATACTCTAATTTTCCACTATTTTCTTTACGCGTTCGATTGTCGAATGCCAAAACCAGAGCACAATTTCACGTTGTAAAAAAAAATCTATTTTGGCAGCCGTTATTTTCACGACCGAGCCGCACAGAGGGACAATGGTCGAATGCGCGCAAATAGGCCTGCAACCATAGGTTTACACTACTAGGCACTAGGAGATAACTCTATGCCTACAACTTACTGCCGAGGTTTAGTTTCTAAACTTAGATCTAAGGTCTGAGAAGCTAGAAAGGCAAGTGCCCCCCCCCCTCTCTCTCTCTCTCTTCAACATTTTTTTAAAACACATGTTGCGGCATAGTTGATGATGCGGCAAGTACAGAATATGGGGATCTAGGCTACGGGTTTCGCAAGGAAACGTTGGAAGCACTCTCGGCACCCATCTCAAATCCGGTAGATTTGACACCTTAACGGGATGGCGGTAGAACCAGAACAGGTCCAAAATCGGAAACTAGATGTAGATCTAGATCTGCCGAAAATAATTGTATTTTAGCTAATAGACATAGGCCTAGACCTCTGCGGTAAGAGCCGGTTTGTCTTCGACATGTGAAAACACGCAAAGCCACGACAGGTCGTGAAAACGCGTGTAGAATTTTTTTCCACTACAGTGAAAATGTGTATATATTTTTTTCCGCGACATGTGAAAATACCGGCTACCTTTACTAAATGTTTTACGCCCACATTGAAACATTTTGTATTGAAGAACGGGGAGAGGGGG